TAGGGGCCAAACCTCCTCTACGAGGTCTAATGAAATACGTACTCAACAAATGTTCACGATTGACTTCCACGATGAAGGAATAACATCGTGTAATAAAAATCAAAAACCCGCAAAATTATAATTTGCGTAATCACTGGTGGTAGGACCTCTTGGGAGTCCGCACGGGTAGGTACCACCACCCCGCCTATTTCCGCCGTGAAGCAGTAATGCGTTTCGGTTCGAAGGGTGGGGCAGCCGTTATAACTATACTTGAGATCTTAGAGCTTATATTTCAAGGTGGGTGGCGCATTTACGTTGTAGATGTCTATGGGCTCCAGTAACCACTTAACACCAGGTGTGAGCTCGTCCACCCAGGTAAGCAATAAAAAAAACAAAAAAATCTTTTACAACTCTCAAAACATTGAATAAAAATAGAGATAAACCGTAAAAGTATTTTTAAACCTATCTGCGAACAATTTTATCGGAAACAATTTATTTTTGATTTCCTAAAAACACGTCAACGTTTGATAAATGATACTCAGAAGACTTCTTGAAAGCTTTATTTAATTTAGAATTGAAAATCATACCAATGGCTCGTCGTAAAACGTATATTCTATTCAGTGATTGCAATGTAAAAAGTTTTTTTACTAACAAATCATGGTGAAGAGCGCGCGACCGTAACTGTTTTGGATGATTTGAAACGTTCCACGGTTGGTTAAGACTTCGATTTTTGATTCGTTCCTCGTCATTAGTTGACATTTTTCTGAATTGCCAAATATTTTCATTTTTAACAATATTAGAAGTTTTAGATTCAAGGTTACAAAATAAATAAAAATATTGCTTTAATACCCAATCCTCAATAAATCTAATTTTAAAACAGAAAAACTCACCTATCTTACTTACTTACTTACCTATCTAAAGGCAGTTCCAACCCTTCTAAGCGTAACATATGAATGCCTCATGTTAGCAACAGGTTGGTGGTTTACCTACCAACTATTCTCACAAAATACGTACTTCAGAAATCGTCTTAAATTACTTAAGGAATATAGGTTAAGCTTTCGGATATTATAAGCTGCGTAATTAATAATGGTAAGGCGTATTTAAAGCTTTTTTTCCCCTACCTGTTCGCCGGTAGCCTAAGAGGCTATTCCAGCTACGTCCGGACGGGTAGGAGAGCTCACGGGCTCAACCTGAAAGAATTTGCTAACACAGCCCTAGCAAGAGCAGTGCTTCGCAGAATCTACCACCGGATCGGAATCGCAACCCAAAAGATACGGCAAGAAGCTCAGTGGGCTGTGTCTATGGGTTAGTTAGCTCGTCGAACTGTTCGTCGCAATCGACGAATTCGATGAGGACGGTGACCGGTGCTTGACGGTCCTAAATGCACCGAGAGTGGATCCGACAAGACATGTTTCGAACGAGATTGGATGACCTGGAGAGAGTTAATATATTTACCGGCCGCATGAGCGAACACTACACTTTTTTTTTGCTGGATGGCTGGACGAGCTCAGAGCCCACCTGGTGTTAAGTGGTTACTGGAGCCCATCGACATCTACGACGTAAATGCGCCACCCATCTTGAGATATAAGTTCTAAGGTGTAAGATCTCAAGTATAGTTACAACGGCTGCCCCACCCTTCAAACCGAAACGCATTACTGCTTCACGGCAGAAATAGACAGGTCGGTGGTACCTACCCGCGCGGACTCACAAGAGGTCCTACCACCAGTAAATACTTGCATAGGTCATGACAGAATAGATGACATGATAGAATATTACACTTAGGTACAACCGCCCTGCTATTTCTGCCGTGAAGCAGGAATGCGTTTTAAGGGTGGGGCAGGCATTGGACTATAAAACTGAGACTTAGAACTCGTGTCTCAAGCTGAGTGACGCCATTTACGTTGTTCATGTGTACGGAGTAGTCCGGTAATTACTTTGCAGCAGATGTCCCGCCAGTTCGCCCACCCATCTAAGCAATAAACATTAGGCTAAAATAAATTATTTACTCGTATCTGTAAGGTTACAAGAAAAAAGTCCTAATAATTTGAGTTCTGTCATCAACCAAACATTTATTTTAAAGTACTAATCGCACATGTACCGTATTGTTATGAATTAAATATTAATTTATGAATTACAACTTGTTAGATTAGCCAGGTGTCCACCTTGATTCATGCTCCAAATAGCGCTATACGTTATGTCAAATGATTATTGATATTTAGATGTGTTCCTATTCGTACGAAAACTTTCTATTAATTTTAATATGCGCCATTTATTTTTGCTAAAAAAAATTTATTTCAAAAATATGACTAGTTTGACTGCGGAACATCTATAATAGAGACTGATTGGTCGGAGATACTTAGCGTTAGCGATGAACTATTGGAACCATTAAGTATTAATAAAATTATTTATCTTGCGTAGTTGTGTTTCAATAAAATATTTTGATTTTCCATGTATCTCGAAACTGACATTTAAAAGTTGCTTTGACGTCTTTATTTCGATAAGCTGCGGGAATACCACGAGCCCGAAGCTGTTTTTCCTTATCCGCAGAATGAAACGAGTTTTAGATAATTGAAAAATTAAACATGCGTCATTATTAATTTGATGTCTTCAAAGCGAACGTTTGGCTGATATGAGAACGTTATTCGTTTTGTAGGTTACGTTTCGAAATACAAATTAGGTTTTATGGTTCCGTNACGTCTTTATTTCGATAAGCTGCGGGAATACCACGAGCCCGAAGCTGTTTTTCCTTATCCGCAGAATGAAACGAGTTTTAGATAATTGAAAAATTAAACATGCGTCATTATTAATTTGATGTCTTCAAAGCGAACGTTTGGCTGATATGAGAACGTTATTCGTTTTGTAGGTTACGTTTCGAAATACAAATTAGGTTTTATGGTTCCGTAAACCAATCAAATAAAATGAAGCCCTTGAAATTTCGTCTGTCTAGCGTCTGTCTTAATTAAGATCAACTCAATTTAATACATATATTTTATTTAAATTTTAACCGAAAACGTCATCTCAGCAACGAAACTCATTACCAAGAAGTTTGAACGCGCAAATTTGTAATTTTTTTTTCAATTTCATGGATTATTTTTCTATTGTGAGGTGTTTTTTTACATGCTGTGTTTGCGTGAATGTATCTTTCTCTTTTTTTTTCGCTATTGTTTTTCAACCGGTAGTAGGTAAACATTTTTTTGAATAACGAGTTACCTAGAAATATTTTGGTTTATGTAAAAGTTGAAACAATCCAAAATCTTTAGATCAAGCCTCTTAATGCTGCTGACCGAATGAAATAAATATCATAGTTAAATCATTTATTAATACTATTACGTAAATATAATTTTAGATGTTATGATAAAATAATATTTGATGCTGTTGTTCTACCTCGCAAAACCCAACCACTGTATCAAAACTGGTGGTTTTACTGGTGCTAGGACCTCTTGTGAGTCCGCGCGTGTAGGTACCACCGCCCTGCCTATTTCTGCCGTGAAGCAGTAATGCGTTTCGGTTTGAAGGGTGGGGCAGCCGTTGTAACTATACTGAGATCTTAGAACTTAGATCTCAAGGTGGATGGCGCATTTACGTTGTAGTTGTCTATGGGCTCCAGTAACCACTTAACACCAGGTGGCCTTTGAGCTCGTCCACCCATCTAATCAATAAATAAATAAAATATGTTTTTAGATGAAACCATTCAACGAAGGTGATTGGTAATTCCACACTAGTTTCTCAAAAATTGTCATTGGATCGTCATTAATCGTTTGGGAGTTCAAAGTATCTGACTTTGACTCTCAAACGTTTAGAGTTCACTGGTATACTAGTTTTAGCTTTAATCGACGATCTAGTGAACACACTGCCGTATTTATTGTAACAGATATATCCGGTGTTGTCAGAGGTCTTCCATTTACTAAAATTAAAGAAGTATCTATTTAATCCGGTTATAAACTATCCGTTGGAAGAAATTTCATCGACATTAATTCGTTAATTTTATGTAACAATTACCCAAACATAAAAACTTTCATGTTTGCAATGTCACTTAGATATATATTTAATATGTATAATTGAAAAATTCGTTGAAATTTTTCATTTTTCTACTTTGCCCTAATCTGCATTAAACATTATTAATTTGACTTTTAAAACAATTTCGAATACTTTACTTATGAATTCACTTTAACATATATTTGCAATAAATTATATTTTAAGAATTACTATTAATTTAATATTTTAAATTTACATGAGCTAATCCTGCAGTCTTTCAAATTTCATCTATACGTCAAATAGGAATAGTCTCAGAGTAAAATAGCTGTAAAATCACTATCAGTATTAACTAACAGTCAGAGGGATGTGACAATTTTTAAATATACAGGGTTCAGAATTTTGAAATTTGCCTACGGAACTCTAAAAGTTTGGTTTGGTTTAAAAGGTTTTAGGCGTTAGTATTAACTTAAATAAAGTTAAATTGTTGACGAAAATTCTATTACGTTAGCCACCCAGTACCACGTATCCACTGATAAGGCGGTCACAAAAAATATATATTTATTTTAAGTGTATTGACATTCCTATACTTATGATAAAAGGAATAGGAATGCATTTTTTATTTACACACTTAGGTATGTCTAGTTTAAATATGAAGTACATTTTTCTGAACACGGCATTTTAAATATGTAATGATGTAGGTAGTTGAAGTAGTTGAATTATTTAATTAACTTATGTAATATTGTTTTTAGAGGTGAATCGAATGATATTAAAGATATTGTCGATTGATTAATCAATCGTCGTCAAAAATTAACGTTGTAAAACCATTGACATTCGAAGATTGTTTTTACGAAATTAAACTGCTTAAAATTGCTGAATGCAATTTTATTTATTGAAGGTAGTCTCAAGCGCAGATGTCGTATCGTAATTTAAACTGTCACCTCACCTGCCTCTGGACCTCTGCACAATGTTTTCTGAAAATGGATTTGGAACACAATTTTATTGAACTAACTGTTGTGCTTTAAACATGGCGGACAGTCGCGGGCGCCGTTCAGTTCACGCGCAACCGTTGACGGAGGCACGCGTCAACACTTTCGTTCAGAATAAATCGAATTAAAATAATTTATTAAGTCTTATCTTATAAATTAACTAAAGAATTCCATTTCTTGTTGGAAATTCTTTTCAGTGTAAAATTTTTCATTGAAAATAAGTCAGTGAGTGCTGAACGTCGCGTGGATGTTAACTAGCCGGCGTTACGAAGCATTCCAAATTAATTCGAATTGGTCAAGGTCCGTAAGAGAGAGATTGACGTATTGGTGCTGATTTGTGGGCATTCGTCTAAGGATCACGTGTGCATAGGGTGAGTGACACTTAGGCTATCGGTCTAGCCGCGGCTTTATTTTTACTCTAACGTGAACGTGCGGGATGCTCAACCTCGCGCAACTATTTTTGGTTCACGAAACGTTCTCACACCTATAATCTAATACGCATTCTCATGTTACAAAATATTAGAAAGCTGATAAAACTAATTTATAATACAAGAAGTACGGTCGCGGCTCAAATTATTATACAAACAGATGTTTATTCGTTTTAAATACATAAAACTCCGTAATATGCCGTTACCGCTTTTCTGTTAAGCCGTGTACCAACATGTGTCGTAGTTGCCGTAGTGCGTACATAATTAAATAAGCATAATATACGATAAACTTTGTCGTTGGTTGGTTTCGGTAGTTATTGCGGTGGAAGTTTGATAAAGGCTTGTCCTATCTGGCCGACCGATTTGCACGCGGTCGCCTCATATTATTCACAAACTGACAGAATTTTAATAGGTGATTCACTAACAGTTGGTATCCGTTCACTTACACATGTTAGTAATGTTGTATAATGGAATGGAATTACAATGTGTGTACTCCACCACAAAAAAAACTTGTGAAGGATTGCTTGTCTTTTATTTTAGCGGGGATAACGCACTTGTGATCTAACGAGACGATGCGTGTCTTTATGTTTGTGGTCGCAGATTCGACAGCGTACGTGGAATGTTGCGCTTTGTTTTTTTTCTAAATGTCACATGTAATATAACGCAATGTGTGCTCATGAGTATGCTTTGAAGACTAANGTACTCCACCACAAAAAAAACTTGTGAAGGATTGCTTGTCTTTTATTTTAGCGGGGATAACGCACTTGTGATCTAACGAGACGATGCGTGTCTTTATGTTTGTGGTCGCAGATTCGACAGCGTACGTGGAATGTTGCGCTTTGTTTTTTTTCTAAATGTCACATGTAATATAACGCAATGTGTGCTCATGAGTATGCTTTGAAGACTAAGAATCCGCGCCACTGGCTAGTCTGCAGTTAGTTAACGAAAAATTTTTAACCACACTAAAATTTAATAGCTTAACAAGTTGTTTTTCACTTGTTATTTTATGTCATTTACATTGTGCTATTTACATTTTGTTTGTTACTTACATTTAAATATATTCGGACGAGGCTATTTTGTAAAAATACAATCGTTTACTTTACTAGCACTAGGGTAGTTAATGACAGTACATAATATAAGTATAATATAAGTATACTATATTTTAAATTACTGTTGTGCAGACCACTGCAGTGTCAACGACCTCGGAAAAAGATTACACAGAGAAAGTAGGAACATCATTGTAAATTGTAATACATAGATGTTAAGTACAACGAAAGCTCAATTTTTAACGTCCAATTGTCTTTTGTATTCCCAACTGTATATAACTCTATAACTTACGAAATCGCTGTAAATGTAAAATTTTCCAAACAAACTTTTTAGAAACATGGAACTAAAATGTCTATATTGATATGTTTTAATATAATATGGTTCGACGTGATCTATTAATGCTTCCAGTAGTTGCCGTCAAATCGAATTTAAGATTTCAGTTTTTATGAGCATTTATGATTTTGAAGGTTCTTCTTATTATCATCAGAAGTTGTCACTTAACCTTCCTTAGATTAAGTTTCAAAATAAAATAAATATCCCTATAATTCGTAGTGGATGAATCGATCAGACTGTTATATTGGTGACGACTGACAAAACTTAATTAATGTAAAAACAAAACACCTACCGAGTACACGTCAATTTAGTATGTAAAAAATAACCACACGAACGAAATAACAGACAAGACTACGCGTGAATTTATTGACCTTGCGACGAAGAATTGATAAATTATTTGAGAAATTTACGGACGAAATAAATTCGGTATTCAATTTAGTTTTATTAGAGAATAGTATAACCTGACTACGTTTCTACAGGCTAGCTTTTGAATGTCTTTTTACAGGAGTTAAAATCCAGATTTTCGCTCGCCACGTGGCTCCTAGTGCCGCAAGCTTTATATGCACAAACGTATTGGTCAAACGTCGTAGACCTTGAAATAAAAAAGTAAACTAGTTTATAGAGAACGTACTAGTCGTGTAGCGCGCAAAACTTGAAGGAGCCACTGAATTGGGATCGTAAAAATTATATCCTTGCGCCTTTCTACTTTCGCTGCACAGATTAGAATATTTGTATGTTGTCAGTTCGGAATCCGATAGCAATAACAAAACAGTCTAAACAGTTGTCTAAAGATTTGCAGATAATGAACGAATGTTCAAACGTTTCGTTTTTGAGAATCGTGAGTGATTTGTGATCGGTAAATAAAATGAAATAATTGGAACATTCTTAACGTCAATCACAGCGTCTATAGTGATATCGCAGTCTGAATGCGCATATGTGGTTATCTCATTGTTTATACAAAATGACGATGACAATAGATGTCATATGGGCTTACGGTCGAGTTACGTAAAGTATATATAATATGCGCTTTAATTATGAAAAAAATAAGAGCTGTTCCGTGGATGTACACTGAACTATATTCAAAATTATTTTCTCGCGTTGGATCTCTGTGTATTCAAAATCTATTTGTACCAGACGACAATATAAAATTATTTATGTAATATCCACCCAAACAGCGTCGTAGTTTAAGAATTTTGATTTCTACAGATATCAGAATCTTTAACAACCTAAGTCCTAAGCCGTTCGCGACTGTGTTGATGACAATCAGATTATACGCCAACAGTGACCAACGGGTGGGCCCTGAGCTCTCCTATGATGGCAATAAAAACGAATAAAAACCCTTGTTTCAAATTTTTTTATTGTTTATGATGATTTCAATTATTTCCTGTCTGTCTGTCACTTATTCTGAGACGACACAGAATGACTTTAGATAAGTGACCCAAATAGATATAGCGAATTCATGTTTGAATGCCCCTTTTAATTTTGATTTTTCCTCTTGATAAGAAACTTAAATATAAATCAATAGTATTCCTTATTTAATAAAAACTGGCAGCTATGTTTAAAAGTACGATACATATGTATGTACTTTATAATTGACTAGCTGAGTCCCGCGATGTTACGAGGCGTGACGAAGCTGCTCTAAAAAAATTAGCCTAAGTTACTCCTTATATGATCAGCTACCTATCAGTGAAAGTCCTGCTGAAATCGGTCCAGCCGTTCCAGAGATTAGCCGGAACAAACAGACAGACAGACAGACAAAATAAATAAAAAATGTGATTTTGGTATTCTTCTTTTATATCGTTCCCTCACTGGTGAGGATCGCGACCACATGTGACGTGCTTCCACTGTGTTCGGTCATGGGTGGCATGGACCACATGGTACAGACTACCACCAAGTGCTTCTCTTACTAGATCTGACCATCTGGCTGGTGTTCTGCCCACGGCGCGCTTGTCCTCTATGCGACCCGCAATTATGAGCTTCTCTAATTCATGTCTGGGAGACCGCATGATGTGTCCGAAGAAGCTCAGAACACGTTCCCGGCAGATGGAAGAGAGCCTTTTTCGGATGTTTAGCTGCCTTAGAATGGACCCGTTAGTTCTCACGGCCGTCCACGATGTTCGTAGCATCCTCCGCCCCACCCACATTTCAAATCGCATCGATCTTTTTGATATACGGTTAGTTTATTACTACAAAAAGACGCTCCAATTTTATTTATTTGTATAGATTAATAAACTACCGAAAATATCTAAAGTTCTCACAATATAAGAACTTAGGCCCTAAAAGATTTCAGACGTACAAAGCTGATAAAATTACCTGCTTAATTTTAAAGCCCTGTTATAAACAGCTTTAATGGATATGCACTAGGTCTTTCGTTAGTTAGTACCAGATTTAATCTCATAAGATACGTCTCAGAAAATAATTCTTCTAATTGTACCCGCAAAACTATGTGCATATAAATGAAATTATATGCTATATGAAACGTAATTTTTATTTTATCCTACGCGCCTTTATCTTTTGATGTCATTTTTTATATAAGCAATATGATATTATGTTTATAAGTATTTAATAAAATGATCCAATTGTTATTGTAATAATGTCATATTCTTCTTATAAGTGAAAGACGATATTGTGCAATGTATATTAACGAGTACGTTTCAATATCTATGGAAAATAACCAACACGTGTGCATTCCGATTGTGCAACTAAAGATATTATTTGTAATTTTATATTTTCAATTTGTAATTCGAAGCTTATATTGAAATTTCTATATTTGATAAGTAATACACATTCATCATTTCGGAAGACGGAAAAATTGCAACGGTGAACCAATCAGAAAGCTGCTCACGTCATTACGGATTCTCCCGATCCATCAACGGTGCTTTTAGGTACCACAAGCACCGGTCACCGTTCTCGTCCAACCCGTCGCTTGCGACGAAGGGTTCGATGAGCGAATTAACCCCTAGACACAGCCCAATGAGTTTCTCGCCGGATCTTCTCAGTGGGTCGCGTTTTCGATACGGTGGTAGATTCTGCGAAGCACGGCTCTTGTTAGCCAGTGTTAGCAACACTTCCAGTTTGAGCCCCGTGAGCTCACCTACATGTTAGGGTGAAGTTGAAATAGCCTCTCAAGGCTATCAGCATAGGTAGGGAAAAAAAATAAAGAAAGCCGACCGTATTCAGGTGACTATTAGGTATGGTCGAAGTTCACTAGTAGACAATTCATAAATTAAAATAAAATACCAAAAACTAACATTCTATTTACACGATTAAGTATTGGTGGTTAATATTAAACGACACTATAATTTTGCTATTCATCCACCCATAATTCCCATAATTCAGCCACCTTGGTAGAAATGTGCAGAAAGCCATACACGTACGTGTTGTTGTTATATGACATGTGCTCTTGTTGCGCTCTATTTTACACTTGAACATTGTCATATTATAAATTCACGTTAAAGAATTCTAGGTGGCGTAAACAGCCCGCATTGTGTAAATATAGATGGAAATGTGATATTTATCACAAAGGGAAAGTCACGGTCTGCCGCTCCAATGCCATTAAATAA